AATACAAATATATATGTACAGTATAATTACATACAAAATGTAAGGTTTTACACTCTACATATTTGTATTTATACTCCTTCCAAACTGAACTAATAAAAAAAAGAAAACCTACAACTTTCAATAAGACCATCAACTAGAAAATAAACAAAAATCGCTGGTTGCTAATTTTGTTTGGGGTTTCTCGGATTTTGAAGCTAGGCTGAGGTGGGTTGGTTGTTGTAAGGTTTGCATGGTGGGGTTGGTATAAGGTCTCATTTTTTATATTGTAAATGCTTTTTTTTTGTCTTAAATCTTGGTTCAGGCTTCCGCAAAAATTCTATTTGGGCCTAGTTTATGCTTTTCAATTATGTTAAAAATACCCCCCTTTGTCTCTTCTTACCTTGTAAAAAACTTGGAATAGACTTTGGGAGAGATGATTGGTATGAAATACTTGGCATTAATTCATTGTCAATGGATGGTTGGGAGAGGTGAGCTCTCCTTTTGATATGACAACCGGATAGGATCCAACCTGCTTATCTATGAAGTAGTAGACTTGTTCAAACTCAGTCATGTTCTTGAGTCTTGACCATGAAGATCTTATTGATGATTCGACTGGTTCTTTGATTTGGAACCTCAATTCTAATGGCAAATTTTCTATAACCTATGCCTGGGATCTGGATCTGAGGAGAAACAGAGATTACTAATTGGACCAAGTTTGTATGAAAAAAAAAAAAATCCTAGATACTAGAATTTCCCATGTTCATGTGGAGATTTATGCATTGGATCCTTCCAACAGATGATTTTATAATGCAAATGGGTATCTCTATTGCACTAAAGTGTAGTTGTTGTAGCAACTATAGAGTTGAATCGTTCAATAATTTATTTATTGTCAGTGTTATGCAAGGTTTGAAGGTATTTTTTAACATTACTCTTGCTCCAACCCAACATGTAATTGATTGTGTTAAAGGATCATTAACTAGTCAGTATAACCCCATCTATCGTTCTTTGGGTGTTGTGGAAACAGAGATGCATTTGAAGGCTTCGGGGTCCTCTTCTCAGGTTTTGATAAACGACGTAAGGAGGTGGCATGGTGGATAGAGTTCGATTAATGAATTTAAAAATCGCAGTGGTTCCAATTTTCTTGTTCTTCAAGTTCTAAATAAGGTCAAGTTTAGGAGTACTTAAAAATAATCGCTTATTTGAATAAGCACTTATTTTGTATTTGGGAAGTAAGCTCAAATAACTGATTAATTCTGAGAATAAATGTTTATTTGGGAAGCCCATAATTTTGGACTTATTTTTAAGTGCTTATTTCCTTTTTGGCCTATCTTAGCCTGCCACATCATTATGAAAATACCTATACTACACCTGTTTGAAATAAGTGATTTTTCACCAAATATTCATGAGCACTTATTAAAATAAAACACTCAATCAATAAGCATTCCCAAATTCCACCTAGAAGAGTTAGGTGGATCTCCTAGAAGGTATAAGTGGGATTGTTAGAAATACAACTGGTGTTTTCTTCTTGGCTTTTCCCCCCCTATTTCTATGGTTCTAGTACTTCAATCCATGCTCAGTTCTTGTCTCTCCTTGGTGGTGTTTAGTTATGTTTTTTGATCATGGAACCCATGCCCTTGAGGTGAAAAGTGGGGGTGCAAATGGATCGAATCATGATCCGAGATCTGATTATATTTGGTCGAATTCAAATAACTCCAGTTTGAATCGTTGGATTGGATCTGATAATAGGATCCGATCAGAAAACTGGATTGGATTTGAATCACCCCTATCCGATCTGATATATTCTATATATTTATATAAATATATATGCATATGTGTATGTTATTTATTTATAGATATATTGTTAATATTGTAATTTTGTACATTTGTTATATTATTTATTTTTTTATAATAAACATGTATATATGACAAAAATAATTAAAAAATACTTGTATTTTTTGTTTTTCTTTATTCAAACCAGTATATTTTATTTTTCTTTTAATAATTTATTTAAAAAAAAACAAATTTGATCGGATAAGATCCAAATATCCGACTTTCTGATGGGATTCTAATTCAGATCCATGTTTATCAGATCCGATTAAATCTTCAGATCAGATTAAATATGCAATTAATAGTGTTGGATCGGATTTTGATATACCCTGATTCAAATCCGATCCATCCCTTTGCATCCCTAGTGAAAAGTGGCAATGAAGGTCTAATCAATATTATAAAAGGCACTCACCCTCACCCTTGTTCAGTCTTTACACAATGAAGAGAATCCATTACTTCCTCAACAGCATTGAGATCTCATTTTCTCAACATGTTGTCTCCGCCCTTGTTATATCAATCTCTTTATTCTTTGTATTGATTAATGTTTTGTACTGTATTATGTATTACTTTTTCATGAAAGTGAACAGGTAACCAATATCATTAAATAGTCTAATGGATGATTTGAAGTGGTCAAGCTACTCTAGAATGTGATAAAAATAGGAAAGTTTCATCCAAAAAAAGGACCTTAGTTCTAAAGGAAAATTGTGAAATTCTTCAATGATCCATCTAGGAGAAAGATTCTCCGATGATATCTCTTTCAAGTAAACTACGGGACGGGTATCTAATTGGACATTCAAAAGATTTAACAAATATGTATATGAGATATTCTTGATGTGGGGTTGAATGTTGTGTGCAGAGTTTTTGCTTGCAGAGGTAGAGATATGGGTTCAAATAAAAGAAGCATGGGTTTGCAATTTCTTTGTGCCAACGCAATTAATCTTATAGTACAATGAGAGATGTAGTTCAAACATGTCTGAAACCATCAACCATTATTTTCACTTCATTTTTGGAAATGGACATGACATTGCATACTGACCATAAAGAAGCTCCATTTACTAGATATGATGTTGATATTTCATTTGTGGCACCAATCAAATGACATGTCCAACTCTTATTGCAATACAACAATGTCCACCAGCTGAGACAAATTTCAAGGACGATGTGTTTGTCATTTTATACTTAGGTCATGTTTGGGAGTGTTTAAAAATAAGTGCTTATTGGAAATAAATGTTTATTTGGGCGGGGACTACACTATTAAGAGCTTACTAGTGTTTGAAAAATAAGTCTGAAATAAGTGTTTATTTTAAAAATAAGGACTTATTTTTTAAGCCAAAATTTATAGCTATTTTTAAGTGTTCATACAACAAACACTTATTCAATTTTTTTCTCCCATAATTGTCCCTAGTGAATTTTTAGAATACCAATTATAACTCTTTTACAAAAACAATTTTACAAAGGCACTTCTATAAAAGTAATTTTATGAAAGCACTTTTACGAATGCACTTTTATAAAAATACTTTTACGGAAGCACTTTTATAAARGTACTTTTATGAAAGCACTTTTATAAAATTACTTTTTGTGGAGGTACTTTTATAAAAGCACTTTTACGAAAACACTTTTATAAAAGCATTTTTACGGAAGTAATTTTATAAAAGCAATTTTTACAAAAGCATTTTTGTAAAAAGTATTTTATGGACATGCTTTCATCAAAGTACTTTTATGGAAGCACTTTTATAAAAGTACTTTTTATAAAAGCACTTCTATCAAAGTACTTTTATTTATTCACTTTGAATTGGATATTTTGAAATTTTGAAAGAAATGAAGGACAAAAGAGTCACAATTGCTTATTTAAGTGCTTATTTTTGAAAATATTGGGTGCCAAATACAAATAAACGCTTATTTGAATAAACACTTGTTTTTAAACAATTATTTTTAACATAAGCACTCCCAAACATGACCTTAGAAAGATAATGATTGAGGGTCCTACATTTATCAAAGAGGTGACTCCTACATTTGACAATAAAGGCAATAGAAATTGACACCCATTCTTTCTTTATTTGAGTAATGCTTATCATACTCTTGCTTCTAGGATTAGAGATCTATCCCCTTCCAATGCTTTTGCATTTGTCCATGTCAAGGGTTTTAGTGTCTTTTCACGTGGTGATTTGACAAGAATGCATCGGCGTATTGGTAGGACTAGAATTCCCTTTTATCTTTATTCTTTTTAGTCATGAAGGAAAGATATTGGAAACCATTGTAATACCCCTCTCTTTTCCCTTCTTCATATAGTCTACATCTGTAACAGAACAGTAAAAACAAATGAAATGCCACTGTGGAAAGCTTGGCTTTTTTGTCCCTCGACAAAACATACAGATTCTATACTTTCCATGTATTTTGGCCCTCGACGAAATACATCCCATCAGTTGATACGAGCTGGCATGTTATGAAATTTCAACCCATGGTTTGACTCGACCATTGGGTTATGGATTGCACACTAAATGCATATACAAACTTTTGGAAGCCATAACTTTGCACTCACATATTAAATTGGAGTGATTTTTTTATCATTTTAAAGTCCTTAARTTTGCACACTAAATGTGTATGCAAACTCCCAAAAAAAATCTTTTTTGTCTCAAACCATATTTTTTAATATTCCTTACAAATAAAAAAATTAAAAATATAAACTAGATATATAATAATGTTTATATATACATATATTACATCTAAAAAATAATTATACATTTTATCAATAAAAATACATATATAAACATGGTTTGATTTCATTCCCCTAGGTGATCAAACGATGACCCACAACTCAAAGGAAAAAAAAACAATTCAACCTCCGAGTCAGTTTTTTAAAAAGATTGATAATTTTGACCCAAAATTAACTATTAAATCATTAAAAACCCCAAAAGTGAAATGATCATGCTTGTTTTTGCTGCCATTACTCTTTTTATAGAGGATCCATGTAGAGATAAAGTTGATTCGTCCTATTTTGCAAAACCCTATCAATCCATCTTAACTCTAGATACATGTCACCTCCACCCTTCAATTAATAGAGACATTTTGAACCAAAAGTGAACCCTTCTCCTTTGTGTCAATGTAGTAAATACCAAATCTTTCATTTCATGAATAAATGAAATAATGTGGGGCAGCATGAAGCAACCCGGCCAAGCCCGAAATCCTATCTATCGGTGGAAGGAAACGAATTTCTAATATCTTATGGATTTATGCTTCCTTTTCTTTATACCAGCTTTGACAAGTACGTCTTCATTCATTCGTTGCTTTGCTCTTTTCTTTCTTTCTTTCTTGTCTTCATCGTGTGTCGGGTTGGGTTCCTTACTTCCTTTATAGGAAGCCCAGAGGACCGTGAAATAAGAAAAGGAAAGAAATCCGCGTTGTTTGGTTTCGTCGATACTCGGTCTTCCAAACCCTAATCTTGTTGTCATCGTCGTCGCCGTCTCTGATGGGATTTTCTGTAATTAGGGTTTGTCTTATGGAGCCGGCCCTAATTTCATGTTCATGACCCTTTCGATTCTCAAACCCTAGAGTTTTCCGGCCATGACGGGCTCTGCGGACGATGCCGGGGCCTCTGATTCATGGGAAACGGCGGATTTGGAGGAGAGCATGAGCAGGTTGAGAGTCTCCTGCAGGAAGAATTCAGCGACGCCACCACCGCAGGACTTCGCTGATGATCCTCCTGTTCCTCCTCCTGCTACTCCTGCTTTGTCATCTTCTGCTTCGCCTTCGTCCGTTGGTTCTGAGAGGACTGCAGGGGTTTCGGAAGATGTTATCAATCAGGTTGATCAGTTTCTCAGGGAAGCTTTGCAAAACCCTCGTGAGCGTTTGTCGAGTAAGTGTCGCCTATTTCGCGTCTTTAGGGTTAAGCTTTGTGTTGTCGTTCATCCATTGACTTGATTTTTCTGGTAACTGTTGTAGACAGGGATTGGGATTGGTGATGTGACGCTCTGTTTATTATAGTTTTCTAATTTCCTTTTGCTTTAATACAATTTTATGACCTTTTTAAGATAAATATTGTCTGAGCTATCTAGTCTGTGTGTATAGGTTTTGTTGGAACTTCTAAGCTAGAACCATTTTAACATTATATCGATATGTAAGGTTTCCAATACTTTGTAGAGACTTCATTTGGTATTAATAAATTTTTATGGCGAAGAGTATTTTCTTTTGGTTATTTACATAAGAACATGGGGGTGGGAAGGTAATGGTGTCATTAGTTGCTGTAATAGTGTTTGTAGAAGATGTCCAAGATGATCAATTAGGAATATATGCTTAGGGTGGGGAAAGGGAGCAGGAGAAGTCTTGGAAATTGGGGTGGTGTTTGCTGTAGGAAGTTTACTACAGACATTGATCGCTACTCCCTAGTTTATCTCACCATCTTATAAAGGAGCATAGGTGTGAGCAGCAGTTTTGAAGAGGTGGTGCATAATTTAATACTTATATCCTGCTTCTACTCAACCATTTAAACAACTCAAAGGTGGATAAAATGGTTAAGTTATTTGGACTCTTGAAAAAGCAAGGACAAGGTTTGAAATTGTGATAGGAGTCCTTGGACTCTGAGATTTAGTTCCAATTTCAAGGGTGTTGGGGTTCAGATTTGAACAAAACACATGTCACAATCCTAGAGGTCGATTCAAGCTAGAATAGGGTAGTGTGAACTGAATTGGCTCCTATAGGAACAAAGACCCAGTGGAGGTTTGTCTTTGGCACGAGATTGGGATGGCAGGCAGGCAAGGTTGATGGGAGAGGCTTACAAGATGGGAGAGACTTGAAGCTATTAATGCTGATGGCTCCTTTTCTCCTCGCCCTTTATACAGACGATTGAGGGATATTTATAACTCCTTCCCCTAACCCCTAGGTAGAGTCTTTGATGACTATCATTTCCCTAAACCCTTCTAGGTGCATGTTGGCACCTCAAGTATTTCCGAAATTACCATCACCATCCTCACAACTTCCTTGGACGTTCTCAAAATGGCTTTCATTTTGATGCAACTATGCCACATTAATTGCGGTTAATAAATGTGGGTCACCAAACCTCTTTGAGCACTAATGACGTGGTGACACAACACGGTGACATAACCTCCCCAACCTACCAAACTTGACTCGGTTCATCATGCTCCTTAGACATCCCCCACTTGAGAGATCCTGTCAAGAACGTTGGCCTATTCACTCGTCTTGCCAACTTGGCTTGATCGGTGAGCTACCTTCTTGCTGACGCTTTGCCATTAATGCGCCAGTCCGTCCTCAATAACCATGCTCTTCTTTCCCTTGTGGTCGAGACACTTGGGTGTGCCCTGTTCGTTGGATGGGTTTCCCCATCTTTGATTTCAACATTTAGCCCCCTAACAATTGAGTCGATCGAAAGAAAAAGGGGGCACAATTGTCATAACAGATTCTGCATTTAAGTTACATTCCACAATCATTTGTCCGGGGTGGTATACTCAAGATCCATGTCTGAATTAGCCTTCTTAGGGAGGTGAGCCCATACCTAAGTTAGCCCTCTAGGGGTTGCAAACCCATGTCCGAGTTAGCCTTCTTAGGGTGGCGAACCCATTAGAATTGTGGTTTGTTTCTTTCGAGGCATTGCATTGCACACACCGTTTATGTCCATTAATTGCATGTGCACCTTTTCGTATTGCCTTTGCACATATAAGTATTGGGGGCCAAGAGGAATGGGACCCCACTTGATCTCATAGCCTTCTAGTCATCTTATGAAAGAGGTCTTTTAAGCATCATGTTGCATCATGTTTTGCCCCTACTTTTTGCCCTTCCTTTTTGTTGTGGGGAACTCCTTAGGCCACCATTGTCCTTGTTGGGTCCTGATTATTGCGCTTCCTACCCACAATGCAGGTGATTCCCACTTGGGGAACGGTCAGTATTCGCCCCCACGTAGTTGTGCCAGTCATCGAAGCGATTCTAGTACCCCATCGGCTTGTCGTTTTTAAACACGTTCTCAAACCATGAGGGTTGTTTAAGCCATTGTYTTTACTCTTTTGACCACTATCTTGGAGGTCTCAAGTTCTTCCAATGTGGAAATCCTTCTCGAGGCTATGGAAGTAATGGTGTTGCAGTCTGGTAATGTTGTTCTAGCTTGGTTTGGCTACTCTTCTTCATGACAACTGTTTTTGTTTTGACTTGTCTCTTTTTCTCTTTCTTTTGTAGTCTCATCAGAGTTCACTCTCAAGACAACTTATCCCAATGAAACCCTGGCCTTTCAAGATTTTATGGGCTGTCTTGATTGCAGATTCCCTCTCCCCATCCCCATGCACTAGATTAGCTAGGATGTGATGGTGGAAGATATCTGCTCCCCACCTTAATGGGCAGGCATGCTAGCTCAGATATTGTACTCTTACAGTCTTATCCAGGCTCAAGGGGTACAGTGGGTGAGGCCTTAGCCCATGGGTCTATTACCTCTCCTTGGCTCTACACAACATGAACGGTCGTCGTCTAACGTCCTTGGATGGGGCGACATTGAGGGAATGGAACGATTGGCTCCTCCTGGCACGCGACGATGGGTTGGATGTGGAATGGGTGTTGCACACTTCTTTTCGATAACCATGACTTTGCTGAATAGGGATGACATTGAGGGAATGGGTGTTGCGCTTAGAAGACCTCTTGCCCCCATAGACCTATGTGTTTTACACTTGTGCAATAGTTTGTAACTTGTAAAGTACTTTCTATTGGTGCTTTTGAGCTAGATGGTGGTGGCCAGTCTATAAATTTGTAGATGATGTCTTGCTGTTTGATGAAGATGAATTCTTGTATCTTCTTAAGTGATTATGTGGTGGCAAGGTTCTTGGCCTGGATGGGTTTCCCATGGCTTCTTTAAAACTACTAAGATATGGTTGATAATGCCTTAAGATTATGGAAGAATTTCACAATGAAGTACCATATAGGAAGCTACCATTGCAACAACCATAAACCTCATTCCCCAATTAGATCAGGTGGAGGACCGAGGACATAAAAAATTTAGCATCCAGTCAGCTTAGTTGGGAGTGTATATAAGATTGTAGCAAAGCTGCTGGTTTCAAGGTTTAAGAGAGTAATGATTTCCACTATTTCAATGATCAGAAAAAGTGGTTTCTATTATTGATAAAAAAAAGAAAAAAATGGTTTCTATTATTTCTCAAAACCACAATCGAGTGGAAGGTTGGAAAATCATTGATGARGTTCTTGTTGCAAATGAATGTAATGGCTCTAGATTTAGACTTGAACAACTAGGCTAATCTGGAAAGCTGACATACAAAAATGGCTTATGACCAAAGTTCTAAATAGCGATACAGGCCAATATGCTGGATGGGGCTTATTGGCTTGTATCACGGGGCGCTTTTTTTCAGTTTTTTTCCAAACCTGTTCAGGGGGGTCGTATAAGGCTTGTCTACTGCTTGAAACAGGTCAACCGYAACTAAAAGTGTGTATTGGCTGATATGGTCTGATATATTGCGAACTTTAACCTTAGATATCTAAGAAGTATTGTTCTATGCTTCAAAGTGGTATTTAGACTTTAATAAACTTGAGGAAATTACCTAAGAGGTCCTAAATTTAGCAGCACTGATGGGCACTCAAGTATTTTTCCTAAGAATTCCTGTTTTGTTTTTTGGTGAGAACTCATGGTTGCTAACCTAGTTCTCTCTCTATAAGACATTTGGGCTTAAGCTTTGAGTAAATTACTGTTTGAAAGCATCTAAGGGACTACCTTAACTGGATTCAACAAGGACATGGTTGGATATTGTGAGTAGGGAGGTAAGGCTATGTACGGGTGTCTCCTTGAAGGACAGGGGAAAGCTGGGAATAGGAGATAGGCTAAAGGCTAGGGTGAATAAGGTGATAGAATGATGATCTCGTTATGAGTTGGACCCCTATTTATAGTGTGAGATCCCGAGGTCCCAAAAGGAAGGAGCCAAAAGTTTTTGATTCCCATTAGGGAAGGGAATCTTGGATTCGGTGTCAGTTGTCAAGGAACACCACTAGGGTTTTGCAACATGTCTTATGAGATATCTCAAGGACGAGCTTTTCTTTCGTCTGAGGATTCTCATGATACACGTGCTACTTCCTTTTGTGAGCCTTTTAAATTGATGTGGTGTGGATGCCGTCACTACTTATCTCGCGTGTCCTCTCCAAACCTATGAGGCGTCCCGACACGTGCATTTTTAATGATACACACGTTTCTTTTACTCGTTTTTGACCTGCAATGAGCCTGAGCTCTTCGCAGTTGTCGATGGCTTTGAGMTCATCGCAAGTCCGYGCGGGTCTTGAGCTCATCGCAATTCGTTTTGGGTAATGAGCCCATCACATTTCTACTCGAGTTCTGAGCTCATCACGGATGTGTGCCGAGTTATGAACTCATCGAAGGCATTCGTGTTGTATTGGTTTAGCACCTTCTGTGCTCTGATGGTCTAGGTGACCATCATACACCTACATGATATAATATTGGATATGAAATTACTATAAAAATTCGAGTACCTTACATGATACAACACCCTTTTTTTGATAAATAAATGGATTTATTATTAATAAGAGAATTAACTAATACAAGTTTATCTTGGAGAGGCACAAGCTATGTACTCTCCAAAGCAAAAACGAATTACAACTGAAAGAACGAGATCTCCTATAGGACAATCCACATGGGGARATGAAATATCATTCAGTTTGAGCTTATTAAGTTTGCACTTCAAAAGAAAAATGAGGAATTGGTCTAAGACCTCCAAGGGAGATGTACTAGGCCCTGCTTATTAAGTGGTTGTGGTTCCTTTGAGTGGAAACTAATGCACTATGGAGACAGGGCATGGCCAGAAAATATGGAGAAACACTATAATGATGGGCCTCGAGGCGAATCTCTCAGCCATCTTTTCTGTTTAGCCTTTAAGAGACATTCTAAAACACATTAAGGATTTTAAGAGACATCTTTAAAGCTGGAAGGGGATTATATTTATGTTTAGGTGGAGTAATGGTGTGGAACCAGCCAATTGATGAAGATTTTTCTCATGTTTGTAAAATATGCTTTCTCAAAGAGAGCACACATATGAGAAAATTACGAGATAATAACAGATTATGACTATTCAACTCAAGCCTAACCTAAATGATTGGGAGGCAAATAGGTTCTTTAAAATCATTGCAAAGACTAGAACAGATAATAAAGGTGAACGTGGACCCGGGCAATATTATTTGGATGTGGAACCTTGAAGCAGAAGGTGTCTTTTTGGTCAAGTCCTGCTACATTTTCTCATTGGGGGTCAGGATGCACCAATCCTTTGGAAGTGGATAGTGTTCCCAAACATCCTATGCAAGGTTGAAAGGTTTTTTGGACAAAAGCTGATAAAAAAGCGTTTTTGGACAATTCTCATCAATGAACACCTCATGTCAAGCAAGAGAGATATTCAAAAATTGTGTGTGCTTTATGCCAATCTTGTGCTGATTGCTGAATCRGTGGTACACCTGTTGCTGCATTGCCTAGGGGTGCAATTTGGGCAGACTTGGATTGGGATTTTGCCAAATTTTGAATAGGCTTGGCCCAAAAGCCCAAAGCCCGAAGCAGTGTAAAATGCTAACTCAGGCCAACTCAAGTTGCCCTTGCTAATATAAGCGTGATTAGACTTGTTCACGGGCTTGGACTTCATGTCAGGCCCATTCAAATTTTGGCAAAAGCCAAGCCTGGGCCCGGTCCATGAACACATCTAGAGTCTCTAGACGTGATGCTACTTTGTTAAGAGTTTTGGACGGAAATGGGCGTACCATCAAATCTAAGCAGCCTCTTTCAAGCATGGGCGGTCAAAGGCTTCCTCAAAAGAGAGAATTTTATGGAATCTATCACTGTTTGCCATCTGCAGGAGCATTTGGAAGGAGTTAAACAATTGAGTGAATTATTTTCATTTCAGCATCCATTTGTTGGATTTCAGGGGCCATACTTTCTCAATATTTTGTGGTGATTAGAGTGCCTATTATTTTCCAGGCCCTGATATTTTATAGAATGCATATGGTATACATGGATCTGCACTGGTGAACTTTGTCCGACTTGTACATGGGACAAAGGATCCCCCTTTTGTCATATTCATATAATAAGATACCTATCCTTCACTTACCCAAAAAAGGGAGCAGTTGTGCATGCACACAGACACACACACACACACACCAGTGGTTCACTAGTTTTGCCATCCACAGGCAATAGCTGGGACAAATCCAAAATCTTCCAGTTGTCTGCGTTGCTGGGGCAGTTACTTTTTTGTTGTTTTTTTAACTCCTCTAAATTAATTGGTTCATACTTCATATGGGGTGTGTGTGTGCAGAAAAGATGCACTTTCTATTAATCTGTGGCCCTATTTCTGATTGTGCCATCTTGCATTGTATGGGGACTTGCTGAAAATTTTGCAATCTGGTGTTCATGTGGTTATCAATATAATTCCCTTTTGTCCAAAAAAAAGCACTATAAATATCTCCCCCAAGAACAATTGACTTTACATAGGATACATAAAGGTTTAAGCAAAACCTTCCAAAATTCCCAAAACAATAACCCACTTTAACATCCTGATTTCCAATAACTAAAAGTCTAAAACATATGCACTTCATGTATCTTCAGATAGATTTACTCCTACAACTTTCTTAAAATCATTGAAATTTGATACTAAACTATGCTTGTGGTTAAATTGTAAAGGATCAATAATGAATGGGTTTAATTGGGACTGCTATATTATGTTCCATGATATAAATGATCTTGTATAGCCATGCTATTTAACTTTTTTGATTACTAAGAAAAGTTTTGTATTAATATGAGGACAATAAGCCTACATTTTCAGTTGTTCTATTTTATATTATAACAAAAGTTGCGACCTTGACTGTTATGCATTTAATGTTCTGAGTTCATATTTTCTGCAAATAAAAAACGTTGTATAGTTTACGCTATCTTATTAGGTAACAGTTGGATTATGATTATTTTAATGAGTGAGCTACCTTGTTTGTTAAGTTTTCTTCACTTCTCCAAGTCAAATGAAGGTTCTCTTGGTTTCTCTCTGTCCAGTTCTGCGAATGGAACAGGATGTTGAGAAGTTCATCCGTGACCCGACTCAACAGCAAATGGAATTCCAGCAGCTTCCTACTTCCTATTTGCGCCTGGCAGCACATCGTGTGGCTCAGCATTATTCCTTGCAGTCAATGGTCATATTAGACAACAATTTACCTGATGGATCTGGTTCCAGAATTGTTGTTCGCAAGACTTCTGAGTGCCGGCGCCCTTTAATTCGTCTGTCTGACATTCCTGTAAACTTGCCACAGGAAGATAGCAGTAGTGGCATTAAAGTTGCAATTAAACAAAGACCACAAAAGCGATCTCAGACTGTCAACAGTGTAAATCCACATACATCCAGGGCAAATTTTTCAAAAAGTGTGGAAGAACGAAAAGAGGAATATAACAGGGCCCGTGCACGGATATTTAGCTCTAATAGTAGTGGTAGCAGTAGTGCTGCAGGGAAAACAGAAAGTGAACTCACAGTGCAAGACAGTGTCCTGCAGTGCTCCTTGGGATCTATGAAGTTAGAGGAGAAATCCATTGCTGAAGTCCCTGAAGTGAATCTTGGCAGGAATTTGGTTGATTCCACTACAGGTAGCACTAGATCAAGTAGAAGTAGGACAGAGAAGGAGCCCATTGGTAGGCACAAGACAAACAGTAGGGTTGCTATATTTCGTGATCGTGAGGTTGATCGTAAAGATCCTGACTATGACAGGAACTATGAAAGGTATACTTCTGATTGTTACTATGTGTTTTTTGGGTAAGAATTGAATCTTCCTATTATCTGTTCTAGCCTTGGAAATAGATCCAGCTTTTCTAGATTCTTTGACTTTCTTTTGGGACCAAACTTCCTCTTGTCTCCAACGAGTTCTGGAATGAGTCCATTTTAATTTGTCATTGGCTATGACTAGTGTGCTTTGTTATTGTTAGAAGTGGGGAAGGAGCTGTAAYTGTTTCTTCCATTTTGGTAGTACTTCTCTCTGGAAGTTGGATATGCCAAATGGTGGATCCAACTAATATGTTCTGTTCCTGAAATTGGCCAAAATGTGTGCACCTTTACCTATTGTTAACTACTGTCTGTATTTTATGAATGTTGGATGTGGCTCTTATGATCTTTTGTTTGTCTGGGACTTATTGCCCTGTTAGATGGTGGCTTCCTCCTTGATCTGTGCAATTCTGTAACAGTGTACTGGTAGTGACATTCTTTTTTTTTTCTTTGTTTCCTGACTCTCAACCTTGAATTCCAAGGGTTTTGATATGAATCTTATGTCTGAATCCTTTTTTGCAAGAATCATTCACTTTTTATTTAAATCCTATGATTCAATTCATGGATCCTACGATTATAATGATTCATGTGATTCAAATCAATTCAATCATGAATTCGTTCTCTACTTAGTCATTTGTTTATTACTTTTAAGCTTTGTTAAGGGAAAATTGTTTTAAAATCCCTAGTAGAGAATGATTTATGACAAGCTCACATTCGTGGAACACGAAAATGCAAATACTTTGATGGACAGGATTAGAAATGAAGTCATACAAAGGAACCTAGGAGCTGCTCCAACTCGAATTGGTGATAAAATACGAGAAAGTAGATTGAGATGGTTTGGCCACACATAGAAGATGAGAAGACCATCTACAGCATCTGTTAGTATAAGTGATCTATTACAAGTTGAAAGGGATAGAAGAGCTAGGGGGGCAGATTGAAAAGGACTTGAGCGGAAGTAATATGAAATGATTTCTTGCCAAAAAATAAATTTAACGATGGATATGGCACTTAACAGAATGGAATGGCAAAACAGGATTCTTATAGTTGACCCTATATGGTTGGGAGTCTTGGGACAAGGCTTAGATGATGATGACCTTTTAGAGACCGTATAGTGTTTTATTTTCTATCATATGCAGGTTAACGAGCCATTGTATGTGGATTATTTGACTTTCAAGTTGAACTTGATTATGTGATCATAGGCTTCTAGGTTAAAAGTGGTAAACTCTATTATTTTAGGTACACATGGTAGGCATGGATTAAAAACAGGGTAAAATTGCTTATCCTCGTATATTTAGATTCATAGTATGTCTATTTTTAATTTTTGACAAGTTTATAAGAAGCATAAATAAGCCTAACATTAACGATAAGATCCTTAATTTGATTCAATTCAGTTTCCTATGTGATTTACAATACAGTTATTATTTATACAATATATAACTGTGATATGTACTGCATTGATTGATGAGTATTTATTTCCTGTTTTTCGAGTATGAAAAGAATATAAGAAGTGACGTGTTTCTGCAGGTATATGCAAAGATTTGATCCTGGGTTTGGATTCAATGGGGGACCATATGGCATGCAACCCATGTATACGCCTGCTTTGAACTACAATACTGAATTCCCACAGCTCGGATCAGCACATAGGCCTCAAATTTCAGTGGATCACCAATCTCGAGCAATCCCTCAACACTTACGTGGGCCATGGGTTTCTACATCTAATCCTGCTGGAATTGGTTATGGTCCACCAGAGACCATGATGACCCCATTCAATCCCAATCCTGTTGGTGCACACTCCAGTTCTGCAATATATTTGCATTCCTCTCAGTACACAGTCCCACGCCCGGGAATGCCATATGTCCATCCACATGAACATGTTCACCAACCTTTTACACAGGTAAGGCAATTGAATATGGTTCTTTTCCTTTTCTAGAATCCAAGCCTTGCACGATATTAATGTAATAAGGTTTTCTAAAGTCTAAACTAGTTATAGTTCTGTAAACTCAGTGGACTATGACATGGAAATTCAGATTGATTGTCATTGTCAGATAATGGTTTGATGGGTCAGCCCATGATGCCTTTGTACCATCTGACTCCTTTTTTGGTAATCGCTTCATGAAATCCTAATAAGGCTTCCTTTTGCTTGGGTATGATTGGGGGCTTATATGTAAAGGTAACAATTGTTGGTAACCTGTACGGTCAAATTCTCAACTTTCATATTTAACACACCAGGTCATCCAAATCAGGCTCTCTAGATAAATTGACCAGTAAGCCTGTCCCCGAGCAAATGAGCAGTGCTGTTTTATATTTTTTATGAACACGAGATTTATGCATCTCTGTCCTATGCTGCTGTGTGATCCACAAACTCAATAGGGAATGGTTTAAAAGATCTTGACTGTATAGCATCTCTGCATTTCCCTTACTCAGACCATAATTTACATTAATATGTGTGTGTGGATTTGGTCCTCAATAGTCACTTTGGGCATACCATTTTTTCATGTTTCTGTTGTTTCTATTATATTGGTGACTGGTGAATAGTGGTCTCCAGCATCTATTTATTTATTTTTGATTTAAAATTGTCCTATGATAGTTACCTTCGTGCCTGTTTCTTTTGCAGTCTCACCAGCAGCAACCTGAAGCAAGTTATGGATTAGCCCGGCCCCGATAAGGGGCTTGGGCCATGCCTGCACTCTGCCAGAAAAGATCTAGGCTTGAGAATGGAAAATGCCACCTTGGCACTTGTTCTCTTTAACTGGCAGGAGTGCAGGCATAAGAACCTGAGGCTGACTGGGGCATGCTGTTCAACCTTCTGAACTCAGTCATATCCTGCTCCATCATTCTCGGTGTTCTTTGGGGGGTACTTCTTGCATCTTTGATGAAGAAACCCACCTGGTTTGGCAGTTCTACTGCTTGGTTGAGCTTTGATGATGATGATAAATGGAAGAAAAGAAGGAAAGATGTCCACAGCTGATAAGCAAATGCTTAGTTGGGATTAAGGTATGCTACTAGTTTAAAGTCTCATATCAGGTCATTCTTCCTATTGCAATATGCTTCAGGGGTTTCTTTAATCGAGTTTAGATACTAAGTCTCTTCTGTTTCTTTTAATATCTACAGCAAGCTTTGCAGCCATAAGAACTCGGGATTAGCAGGTGGTTTGAGTCAGGAAGATGGCTCTTGAGATATTGGCTCGCGAAAGCTAGGGTGCATATCTTAACATGTTTTACAAAAGCTCTGTTTCACTTCCACCATATGAATAGGTTCTTCGTGAAAACATGATTGCAGTATATCAAAGGAATCTCTTGGTGTATGATATTTACTTACATCTGTTACAAAATTTTTAAACTGCCTGTGTTATTGTCAACAATGTCTATGGTGAAAGTTTTATGAACTCCATATTGGGTATTTCTAAAATGGAAGCAATTGCTTGTGGACTCCCCAGTCCCCATCGGCAATTGTGGCTTCTTCCTCTTAATGCGGTATCATTTTCATTTTATGTATGGTTCATTTGTTTAGTTTAGACACTCATCTCCAACATTTGGTTGGTTACTAGCCTAGCGGATCAGCAGCACAAGTAGTGTTTCTAATTTCTATCCAAGGGCTGAAGTTGCTTAACTGAACTGCTTATTGCTTTGTCTTTCGGTGGATAAATAATTAAATTGTAAAATATTCAAGGTATTGTAATCTATAAGCTTTTCAGTTTGTCTTTTAGTGGAGAAGTAATTAAATGGTAAAGTATTCATTAAATGATAAATCAATAGGCTTTTCAGTTATCCAATCATGGACTCAAGGATGGTCTAGTTCGGTTTGGGAAAATTTTTAAATTTTAGATACTAGACCAAATTGTCTATATATAACTTGTTAATTTGTCAAATGACTAAACATGATTCAATAAATATTCAAAAAAGTCCTTCATTTACATCATTAATTATAGCATTAGCTCTTGCGAACCATTGATATGTTAGGCACTTAGGCCTAGCCAATGGAAGTATGGAACCAATTATACCGAACTTAGCCTACCGTGTAAAAATAGCTTTATTACTTTATTATCTTTTTATATCTTTTTACCACTCCAGATCTGTTATCCACAAATTGTTCCCACCTTACAAAATATTACCTTGTTAAGATTTCTGTGTTATAGATTTTGCTAAATTAAAATTATTATATTACAGGTAATTGTTGATATCAAATTTAGTTGGGTTTCATCGGAACAGATCCTATTAACCCCCATTAATAAATGGGTGAATCTGATATTAAAGGACTCTAAAGGGTTTAAATGGCATGGTTTTTAAAACCGAACTGGTCAGGGATCTGGTTACCGGTTTGAATGGTCTGACCGTTTGATCCGAATGGCAGGCCTGTTCCAATAAAAAGATAAAAAATTAAAAAAATAAAAAATTTGAAAAATGGTCAAAACCGTTTGAATGGTTTGGACTGTTCAAACGGTTAATTGGCCGGTTTAGTGATTTGTTGACCAAAATCAATGTTTTTGGGAAAAAAGCGGGTTTGGGGAAAAATGGGACCGGTCACTTGACTGGTTCCCGGTTTTTCTGGTCTGACCATCTGGTCTAATCCAGTTTTAAAAACCATGCTAAATAATTTCCCTCGGTTTGGGACCAGGTGCACCCTATCTATCTATCCTGAGCTAGGGGTACAACCCGAATTGGCCTGAGTTGGCATTTTAAACTGATTTGGGCTTGGACCTTCAGGTCAGGTTCTTTTCAAATTTTTACAAAAGCCTAACCCGATCTACCCAAGTTGCTCCTCTACCATTGGCGGCCTGAGGTGATATCTGTTGGGATCTTTAGGGTTTACTGGGATCGGGATTGGTTGAACCCATCCCAAACCTGTTTGTTTGACATCCCTCATCACAAGAATTATTTAACGCAACCGTCCGGTTGCACATTGCAAAAAAAAAAAAAAAAAAAAAAGATTTGAGATGGATGGTTTGGATGAGCAAGGATTAGCCTGTTTAGCAAGATGTGAAACCAATGACAATATTCCATATGAAAATGACGATAATAAAATACATAAGACTTGCATCTTTTACGGTGCGACCAAGGTTCAAAATATTGATACACCTAATACGTTGCCCCTATTGATGTATCGGGTGACATCGATACTATTTTTTTTACTTTTATTTTTTTTTTAAACTGGTTCAGGGGGGTCGGTTTAAGGCTCCTCCACTCCCTGAACCAGTCAGAACCCCGATACACCCACTGTAGGGGCATATCGGGGAGGTCCCGGAATGATATATATCAGCCGATATGTGTCAATACTTTAAACCTTGGGTGGGGCTCATTAATTTATTGATGATGTGGAACATTATTATTGGTTCCACAGCCCACTGAACAGCCATCGTGTTCAGCTAATCGAATGGCACTTTCTTCTGTTATAGATGATGTCCCGCTATCTATTGTAATCGTCATTTTCTGCTTGCTGAGTTGCTTCCGTCTTTTGTCCTCATATTTGGAAAAAACTTTAGCTGTTGGGGGCCAGTTGAGAGAATTTCTGGAAATGCTATATTATTATGAGAATGGGTAAATTAGTAATTACATGTTAATTTATTTTGATTAAAAACAAAAACATGGGCTAAATAGGTGAATTGTCCAGAACTGCCCAGCCCAGAAACTGTTTCAACAGCCTATACTGTTGGGCCCCAACAGCCAAAATTAACCCTCATGTTTGTGGGATCCATTGTATGGTGGCCCCGCACGCACTGCGTATCAGAATCACAACAAGTGGCACCATGCTGAAGCTTTAGCATCTTGTCATAGTGAGACACGTGGCAAGTTACCAGTGGGCATGGGTCCGAGGCATTCCTTTTGCCCAGCCCAGCCCAGCCCAGTGGCCCAATCATAATGTGAGAAGCTGTGAAGTGAAGGTGCGTATTGTTCGACGTACCTTTTAGGTTGTCCAATTGGATCGACTCGCTTCCAGTCCAGACTCGGTAGCGATCAGGTACTTCTTCGCCTGAGAGAAGAGTTCAAAGATGCAGGCCATACGAGCTGCAACTCGATCTCTTAGATCTTCTTCTTCTTCTTCTGGCTTTGCTTCTCCTTCTATTTTATCACATTACATCAATGGCGTTTCGCCCGCAACATTCGTGATCCCAAAAAGTGGAGGTTTCGATGCAGAGGGAGGGTCCATCCTAGGGTTTATTTCAGGAGCTAGAGTCTTCTCTCAATCGGCTGTTTGTTCTTCTGCTTCATTCTTGGGCAAGCAGGAGGTCACCACTCGAGTCGTGGATCTTCTCAAATCAATTCCTTTCATTGATCCTGCCATGGTAGTCTTCATTCATTATCTCTCAGGCTTTGGGAATTTGGTTTCTTTTCCGATTTCGTTATTAAGGATTAGAAAAATGGACTTGAACGTAGTATCAGGGGCCATTTGGAACTGACATTTGCTATTTATGAACTTTTCCTGTTTCTGAGTCATCTGCAATGTTATTGATGTATTTCATTTAAGATATTAATTGCCCCTTAACACAAGGGAAAGCAATTTTATCTCTTTGTGCCTTTCAGAAAAGATTGATGAGAAAACCCCGTTTTGTCATATGACTTTGACGTCAAAATGCAACCGCAAAATCATTGTTAACTAGATATCTCTGCTACTTAGAGGTGCACAACAGTTTAAGCTGTCTTTGGAATTCATACGAGCAAAAACATACTATGGCTAACAAGGACCAAATAAGCCATTGTTTAAAATGACTTTAACATCGGAGTAGCTCCAGGAGGTGACAAAATCAGAGAAAATAGACTAAGATGGTTTAGTTACGTTCATAGAAGACCATTGAAAGAATCCCATAGAAAACTAATTTGTTGCAAGTTGAAGGGGCTAAAAGGATTAGGGGTAGACAGAAAAAAGCACATGGGTTGAAGTAGTAAGAAATGATTTAAGTGCTCACAATTTAACAATGGATACGGCATTAAACAGAACAGAAAGGTTAAATAGGATTCATGTAGCCAACTGCCAACCCTATATCGCTGGGATAAGGCTTCAATGATGACAGTGATGATGATGAAAAATAAAAGAAAGATATTGATAAGTGGATGTTTCCACAATCCACACCTTATTAAGGTTTTGAACTTATGGATTGATCTTTGTTTTGAGAGCTGGAGGTTGATAGAGTCTTCACTATCAGGGCTTGTTGGATTGATGGTTTTCTTGTTCTTGTTTTGAGCTGCATTTGGATTCTGTTTATGGTTATATGCTTTGCTTACTTGTCTAGTAAAGACTAATCAGTCTTAGATGTGAATTCAATAAGAAAATATGTAGAGAATAAGAGAGGAAGAAGAGAGAAATCAGAAAAGAGTGGGGATCTTGACTAGAGTTGCCGCCCCACTCAGCTATATATATCTATCTATCTATATATATATATATGTAAATACCCACTCAGCTATTTATATTAATAGTTTAAAACATAGTAAATTCCAGTACTGCCCCTACTGCTAACATAAGCTGAAAAATAACTGAAATAATTAACCAATTAACACAGCTAGCATACTAACAACAACATAAATAACATAAAGTAACATGCAACAGTGGGGACCACAAATAACATATTATTGTTCCACATCTCTACACTCCCCCTCAAGCTGGGAGTAGATATTAATCATTCTCAACTTGCGTAAATCTATCTCGAACTTGGTCTTTGTAACTGCCTTAGTGAAGAGATCAATAAGCTGCATATTGGAGGTGATATATGGAAGACACTTCTTGGGAAGCAACTCTCTCTCTCTCTCTCTCTCTCTCTTTGATAAAGTGTCGATCCACTTCAACATGCTTCTCATAAGAAATGCCCAATTCCTTAAATAGGGATCTCAACCATAATACTTCAGCCACACCATTCGCCATAGACCTGTATACGTCTTTAGCACTGGAACGAGCAACAACATTTTGCTTCTTACGTCTCCAAGAGACAAGATTTCCTCCTACAAAAGCACAATACCCAGAGGTAGATCTCTTGTCATCAACACACCCAACCCAATCAATATTTGTATAAACTTCTATTTTCATGTGACCATTATCTTTGAAGAGTATGCTTTTGCCTAGACATCTCTTCAAATAAGTTAATATCCTATCAACTGCAAGAAGGCAAGTGGTTATGGGGGAATGCATATACTAGCTAACAACATTGGTTGCATGAGAAGTGTTTGGTCATGCGAGGCAAAGACAAAGAAGTTTCCCAACCAACAGTTGAAACATAACCTTGTCTTCAAGGGGCTCTCCACCTTTTGCACTTAATCTTATGATTTTGTTCAATAGGTGTGTTAGCAGGTTTAACACCTAGCTTCCCAGTTTCTTCCAAAAGATTAAGAACATACTTCCTTTAGGAGACAAAAATCCCATGTTTAGACCGTGCTACCTCAATGCCCAAGAAATAGTGTAGTTCTCCCAAGTCTTTGACCTCAAATTCTTGGTGAAGAAGTTGTTTAAGAGACTCAATCTCATGGCTATCATTCCCTGTGATCACAATATCGTCAACATATACAGCAAGTAGAGTCAAGTAGTAGTCCATTTTCTTAATGAAAAGGGTGTGATTTGATTGGGCTTGTACGTAGCCGAATTTTTTCAAGGGCTTGTCTAAATCTATCAAGCTAGGTTCTTGGAGATTATTTCAGTCTATATAAGGCTTTATTTAGCCGACAATCCTTCTTCCCTGCTTTTGCACTATAGAATCTAGGGGGTAACTCCATGTACACCTCCTCTTGCAATCACCATTGAGGAAGGCATTTTTAACATCCATCTGAAACAATGGCCATGAGAAATTTTCTGCAATGGATAGTAAAACTTTGATAGTGTTCATCTTTGCTACTAGTGCAAAAGTTTCCAAATAGTCTATGCTATACATCTGTATAAACCCATTTGCAACTAATCTAGCCTTATATCTTTCAACGGAGCTATCAACATTATGTTTCACTGTAAACTCCAATCTACACCCAACCAGTTTCTTCCCTTCACGTTGATCAACTAACACCCATGTATTGTTTTTTAGAAGGGCATCCATCTCTACCCTCATTGCATCCTTCTACTCAGGTACTAACAAGGCTTCCTGCATTGTCCTGGGGGATGGAAATAACAGTAATAGATGCCAAAAAGACTTATAGGATGGAGACAAATGATCATAAGACAAACTGAGAAATACAATGTGTTGTAGATGAGGTACAACGACGTTTTCCTTTGTAGAATGCAATTTGGAAGATCAAGATCATCCAAAGGAGGAGGATAAGGCTCAACAATGGAAGGTATTTCATCTGTAATGGGAGATAAAGGAATTGTGGTGCTTGGACTTGGAGCTGTAGAGGAAATTGGAGTTGGCTTGGACTGTTGATGATCGAAATCAACCTGCTTCCACCACCTGTGAGATACACCCTCAAATCCCTGCACCTTTGACAACCCTCACTACACTCCCCTTTAGTGATTGGGACAGGTAATGGAATTTCTGATGAATGAGAACCCATCTCACTACTCTCCCTCAGAGAAACTTTATGATAGTAAGGCGATGGGGGACGGAACTTACGATCTATCATCATCCCCATTGACCCAAGACAGTCGAACTAGTTCGAAGTCTTCGTAGTTGCAGTGAGCAAGTCGCAACAGACCTAACCCTCGATATGAAAGGATTAAGGCAGATTGGAAGGACGACGATGTAAAGGATCAATGGGTCGACTATGAAGACTCAGACGACGACTTCTCTTTTGGAGATGATTCTAGCAGCAGAAGATCCGGAGACACTGTTCAAGTTAGYGTGGAGAGTGGGGATGACCTTCACATTGTCTCCCTCTTTGAAAAGGAGGTCACAATTAATAAGAGGAAATCACAAGGTGGAGATGTATTTCATCAACTACGAACAGAGATGGTGATTTGCGATTGACACCGGTTAGTGGTTTGAAGTATCTTCCAATTTATCAAGAGGAGAATAGAGGTATCCAAGGGGGTAAGGAATTAATTCTAGGCGAGAGACAAGAGCAAGATAATAAGTTGGTGTTTCAGCATAGGAACCGGGAGATTACAAAGGATATTCTGGGAGGGGGTACAAGTTCTGAGATGGCCAAGTCAAATACTCCTTCGAAGCCTTCTCAACTAGTTAGAAGTGAAGTTGGGGATTTGGAGAGGCACCAAATGGAAAAGGGCATTGAAACTTCTGTTACTAAAATGCATGTCATTCTTTCTTCTCAGCCTTCTAGTAACCTCGACAACTCTGTTGGTTTAGGTTTTGATGCTAATTTGTATTTTGTTGGTCCTATAGTCTCTTCAGATCCCATCCAAGGCCACGGTTTGCCCATGAATCTACAAGAAGAAGGAGAGATGAGTAGGGGATTAGGAGATGAAGTTGGTGAGAGGGAGATAATGGGAGAGAAAGGAGGGGTGGGTGTGTCTGAGGCTAGGGGTGAAAGGAGGCAGAAGTTTAAGGAAGGAGCATGGTAAGGGGATGGGTACAAATGGGGAAAAAGAAATCACCATAAGGATTCATTCCCAAGAAGATGAGAGTGACGAGGAGGCTGGGAGGGTCTTAGTTAAGGGGAAGAAAGAAAAGGAGGCGGGAGAAAGTAGAAGAAGCCAAGAAGATCAGAGTGCAAAGGACCCAGTGGTGGATTTGGTTGATAAAATGGGGTTGAAAGTGGAAAAAATAAAAGAAAAGGAATCTCAAAAGAAGGTAAGTAAAGAAAAGGGGGGCAAGAGGAGAAGGAAGCTAAATGAAGTTGAAAAACTCATTAGTGATGTGGAAGGGGATAAGGAGTTCAATGCTAGGGGAGGGAGAAGGAGAGGGGGTCTATAGGCTAGAGGAGGGTTGGGGTCAGAACTTGATGTGATCATGAAGATTTTTAGTTGGAATGTAAGGGGATTAGGAAGTGCCACAAAAGAGTAGTCAAAGAGGTATTGAGGAAGGAGAGACCGGATTTTGTTCTAATTCAAGAATCCAAAATTCAGGAAGTAGATAAGAAGTCTGTGGGGAGAGAGGAATATTAATTTGAGCTTCGCTCCCTCTTGGGGTGCATCGAGGGGCATTATAACAATGTGGAGAGAAGTAGTCCAATGTTTGGAAGAACTGGTAGGCAAATTCTCAGTTTCTATTAAGTTRAAGGGTGTGCAAGACGGATTTGAATGGGTTCTCACGAATGTCTATGGGCCAAACTCATATAAAGAAAGGAAGAAATTGTGGGAGGAGCTTGGGGATATTAGGGGACTCTGGGGTGGACCTTGGTGTTTAGGGGGAGATTTTAATGTAGTTAGGTTTGTGAGTGAGACAACTGGGGGCAGGCAAAGAACTAAATTGAGTAT